CACACTTTCAACTTCGTTTAGTAATAGCGTTCGTTAAAACACGAGCAATCATCGGCTAGCAATGTGATGGTAACGAGACGTTAGTTCATCCAATAGTCAATTACAGAGGAGTACCTATTGGATTAGTCCAAAGGAACATATTATCCAGAAATGTATGCAGGGTGTTCAATAAGCGTATGTACATATGTATTTAGAGTGACATCGAAGCAATAAGTTTCAATAAAGTCATTGAATTGTGTCAAAACATTTACAGAAGAGATTGTTGTTATTAACGGATTGAGCGAAAATTGTACAGACAACCAATAAAAAGGCATTAAAATGAAATAAATATTATTAATAAGATTTGTAAAATGTCAATAGGAGTTTGGAATGATCAATTGAATCTCCATTTTCAGTGCAGGTAACAAGGTCAATGAGTCAAATTCACTTCATCTTTTTTTCAAGCGCATTCGTCACTCCACTAGGAAATTTACCACACTTCTAAAACAAAGAAAAAAAGCTTCTCATACAAATGCAGTGGAAAACATTAAGGGATTCTTAGAAAACCTTCTACAGTGGCATTGATTGAAAGTTAAAGAGAGACAGGTTAAGAAAAGATCTTTTTCGGTTAATTGAAATTACTGTATGGACCACATCTTGTAAGGAAAGTCTGAATTTTGATTTTCGAATGTTTTTTTTTTAAACAAAAAAGTGTACAAATGGGTCTACGTCCAATATCAGCCTAACAATGTGCCGCAGAAGCATGGTAGGGCTGGAAAGTTTGTCTGGTATCTTCTATGTTGTATTAACGGTGGCGTGAGACCCTTTAACCTATGAGTCTCTCATTATTTTATCTAAAAATCATATATGAAAACTGCCGAAAACTAATCTTGAACTGTCTACTGGGGATACAGAACATTTCCACTAAATACAAATCAAACAGTGCTGCATGACAGAGCTGGGTGTCGTGTGAAAGGTCTTCTCTAAAAATATACACACCTCTATTTTTCCCCGGTATAAACGATTGGAAGCTGGAAAATTTGATATTGAAGAGATCATAGTAAAACAATTTTAGTCATCTTTGGGTATATTTTTTGAGTATATGGGTATATTCTCAAAAATGCGTTTTATCCCCCTTTTTATGGTAACTTATAAAAATACCGTAATCTAGCATCTGTGAAATTGCACATTTTCGAAAAATGGTGCAAGACCGGTGGGTTGAGTAACGGTCTACCAAACCTTTAATACATTCTCTTAGCAGGAGAACAAGCCACTCTCGGGAAATAAGCCTGCCCAGCAGCAGAGTAGTTAGAAGTGTTTGTTAGTATGTGAAGAGTCATAGCTTATAGATTCGAATCCTGGCCGAGCAGCGACCAAGAGTTTGCTAATTGCAATCATCCCCCAGTAGAGAATGTAAGTGTTTTTGGCATGAAAAAAAACTATCGGTCTCTCTATTTATTTGAAAGTCATTAAGACGCACACCATAAATTTTGAGAAGAAGATCACTTCATAGGTTGAAAAACGTATATTATACACACATATTAATTTTGATAGTCAACTGAATTGTAGCCTAAATATAATAGAGAGGTTAAGTAGAGATATAACTGTACTTCATGCTTGCACTTCATTCCATCACTATAGGAGAGAGCCTGAAACCTATGGTAGTTAGCTCAATGCTCAACTGTTCGTACCTGTCCTTATAAGTTTAGCTATACCACCAATTTCCTTGGAATTCTCCTCCTCTCATCATACAACAAACTGCAAGAGAGGCGAAATGGAATTAGAGTGAACCAAGTCCCGGAAATCTCAGTAAAATATATACCCAAATGTTGTCTTCATGCTACTGTTATGAAATTATCCCTTTCACAAATACTCTTATTCACAGAGCCACAGTCATCTTCATTGGCGCCTGAAATCTCGATGATAGGGCACGATATGAGCGATACCGAAGCTCTCATTGTAGACATAAAACTACCAGAGCAATGCTGCGTCTTCCAAATAATGCTCATTGCAATCCCGACAGCCACTAATTGTTTGCTTAAAATTACGATTACAAACCAATCAGTTATTGTATACTCTCAGGGTCAAAGTTCCAAGAGCAAGTCTCACCAAAAACATGTCAACAATGACCATTAAATTCATAACAAGCTATGAAGAAGTCTGGTGAAATGTTCCCTCCATACACCACGTATGCTGTGGCCATCGATCACCAGATTTCCACATTGGTTTCTTAATGAGTATGCTCCGGTCTTGATACCTTCCGTACGTCGGCGCTTCCTTTCATCAGTACTACCCTTGTCAGCCAGTTTCGCAAGCTATTCGCACTCATGTATTGCGGTCTCTTTCGTTTTTTGGCTGCAAACAAGCCTTGCTGCACTCCCAGCTCTCGGTATCTATACCGCTCCGCATGTATGGTGGTCGATGGCAAGGTTGCGAGGTTAGCAGTCTTACTGTCCTCTCTCTTTTGCTGTCGAAATTCAATTCTGTAGCGGCGGTAAGTCGGGAGTTTGAGATTCTGCTCTACAGTTTCTCTATATCGAGTACCTCTTCGATGGGATGTTTCGTTCTAGAGACTTAATTTTGCTGCAGTTGTGACGAAGTTACCTTTTTTGTCCACCCTGGCATTAAAGATAATGACTTCATGATAAGATGATAAGATAATGAGATATTGCTTTATTGCTTTATTGCTTTTTGAAAGAAGATACAGGGAAGTAAAGGTGGAGAGTTCACCTAACACTACCTCCCTGGTACAATAGGACTGTTTGAAACCTTTATTAGAGATTTTCGGTGAAGGTATTCGTTGTAATTTTCTAAAAACTTATACCTCTTCAATGAAAGAAGTTTTGGTAAATGAATTCATTGTTTTTTTTTTTAATTATCTGCGCACTTTTATGATTGTTGTGAATGAAATATTTAATCCTTAAAGATTTTCACTATAACAAACAATCATAAAAAATGTGGTCTATAGACATACGTACATATTGAATATATAAATTTGAATAAATCACCAAAAAAAATGGAAATGAAATTAAAATTTTGCAGCTCTACAGCAGAAATTTGAATTAAAAATTAATCTATTTGGAAAAAATGTATTTCTCCACTAAAATTTTTAAACCACAAATTTCAACTTTTTTCGCATGAGCACATTAAAAGCCATTAAATAGTTTCTCATGTTTTATATACTATGAGCGCATGAATGACTCAAAGTTGGTCTGCAGCAGCTGCCGCGCGGGCGCTCATTTTAAGCCAACTACTTCGCTTTGTCTTTAGAGGATTTTTTTTTTTGTTTGCTTTCATTTTCATAACAACGTCTACCTTAATTAATTACAGCGAAATACTAGGGTTAGTGACTGTGATTCGAAGTGACGGTAATATAGTAGTGTATGAGCAGGAAGTACAAGTGTGAGTGAAACTCCAGCAAAAATTTCATAAGAGAAATTTAATAATCTCATAATTTTATAATCTTTGCAGAAATGAATTTTTTTATCAGTTGAAAATTTTTTATATTTTCCAAATCTTAAATTTTTATAAATTAAATTCGAAAGTATCCATAAATTCCGCACTCGAAAAACCGGTTGTACGATTCTGAGCTGCCATCGTCATCATTCTCTAGCAAATTCTAATTCTCTATACTTCTTTCTTCTTCCAGTGGTATCTTCAAGCACCCGTCCTTATTTAATTAATCAAGACGTGCTTATTTTATTATAAATTCGACCTGGCATATATTGATTTTTTTTAATAAATACCCAAGCTCTAGTGTAATTATAACTAACATTTTGGGGCAAAAATTTTAAATATAACAAGAAATCATAGCTAAAACGTAGCAATAAATTTCACGATAATCAAAAAATTTCGAATCAAGCCGGTTAAAACAGTTATCAAAATAAATTTTATTTCGTTTTGATCCCAAACGTACAGCTGTTAGTAATTTTCAATGGTTAACAGATGATGTTTAATCTTTAACAGATAATGTTGAGTCGTTAACAGTTAAGGTTAAGCGTTAACAGTTCATGTTAAATGATAAATTTGGAGTGTGCTGTTAATAAATTTGAGCGATCTCAACACTAACGATTTCATTTCGCTTGGCGCAGAGACGAAACAAAATCATTTCCTCAAGTTTTTTTTTTCATATAAAATCGTTTCGTTAGTTGAATATCTCTGGGAAAAAATTTAAAAGCCAGCTCGGGAGACAAGTAAAGAGTACAAAAGGGAGCGTTTTTATTTCCGCAGAATGGGTGATAAGTGGAAATAAGAAAAATAAAATTATTTTCTTTTTTAAATATTTTAACATGCAAGACCAATAAATTTCCCAGAACTTTCGATTAATTTATATATGTAAATGAAAAAAAAATTTTTCTCATTATATCAAACTACCCTGAAACTGTCTCCTTGACATCATCTTCGGCCATCAATTTTCTACTCCTTAGTTCTTTTTTCATTTTTGAAAACAAGTAATAATCGCTCCGGTTCAGGTCTGGATTGTAGGGTGTCTGATTGAAAATATCGAAGTCCACCATGTGCAAGGCAGCCAAGACAACGCGGCTCTTATGGACGGGGAGCACTAACATGCAAAACCAACACACCTTTCATAAGTTTTCCCCCTCTTTACTCTTTAATGGCTTCTTTTAATCACTCTAATATTGAAGCGCGGTATTCTGCAGTAATATTAACGCTTTTATCTTTATATGTATTTATCATATGCCTTCTGAGACCCAAAAGACCCTTGCCATGAGTTTCCCTGCTGACTGTGACAGCTTAAACTTCTTGTGAAGTCTCTTACGGCGCTGCATGGAGTCTTGTTTCTACAATAGTTGAGCCCAAATTCTGTCGCCAGAAATAATTTGACTCTATACACTGTCCTTCTCATCCCTACAAACTTCTACGGGCTGTTGGTTTTTCGCAGGCGTGAGCATTTCTAGCTCCTATTTCGCGCTGACCTTAGTTATGCTAAGATTATCATGCAGGATTTTAAAAATAGTTTAGCGGATATATGTATATATATAAAATTGGCGCTTAGTAACCTGTGAAGCGAGCTCCAGCCGAGCTCCTACACCAATTTCTGTTGCACATCTTAACACCCAACAAATGGAGCGACTTACAATTAATTATAAGCCGTCTCCAGTGACCGACGGATTTTTATGAGTAGCTTTCATTTCATTCCAAGGGACCACCGTTATTAGAAAAATTGATTTTCACTCATTTTGGATGTTGGTCGAATAGGGCTAGGACTCGGCCGGCAGATACTCCAACTATTTCTGCGAATCGTTTCTTCTTTTGTCCAGCATTGTCGAGGACAATACTTTTAGTTTTGGCTTGGTCACCTCGATGTTCCTGTCCGGCCTCGGGTCATCTTCAGCAGTTTCTCTTCTCGGACAAGAGGCGCCATTAAGGAATAAAGTATTTCCTTAAGAAGAGTCGTCGCAACCCAATAACATATCATAATAGTCACTACTGATTTTTCCGGCACGATACTCAATTCCCGATTATGTCGCTTAGTTGGCGATAGCTCAAAGATTAATTATGAAATAAAACCGCGTATTTATACTAACTATGAGTCACTGAATATGTTACGATCCTAAGGAGTCTACTACCCGCCATCCAACTCTCTCATTCTGCGAACACGAAAAGATATTCCCGACTTTACGTTAACAAATTTAGAATTTTGAGAAAATTACAGAAAATATTCATGCGGAAATGAAAATGGAAGCACAAACAAACATACATACATGCATACATTATATAGCTAACTATAAATATAAAAATCCGTTGAATTTCAAGTCAAGTTCTCTTTCACTCTACAGTAGTGCCAGTTACAGCAATGCTTTTGCGAATATAATTTCTAAGAAATTCATTTTATTGCCCAGTGCCTTGTGGTAAAGTAGAAGAGTAACAAAGTCCATTGAAATTACCAATTTATTTCAATAATAAAAAGCATTACTCATTTTGACTAGCGCCAATTTATGAGCGCATTTTGATTTTTAACAAGTTCCAAATAACCTATCTCATATATATAGGATTATACATTTCGTAGTTTCAAAAGTACAGGGCTATAGTTTTCCATCTGTGAAACTTAATTGTCAAAAAAACATGATTTGTTTTAGTTAAAATAATTAAATGTCGATTGGGTGCCTGAACAAAAAGCATGTGGAGGGAAATTTTTCCAACACAAATTCCTTCAGCGACGAGGCTTATTTCTCATTCGGTGAATACGTAAGTAAGAAAAAATTTCACATTTAGGACTCCGAGCAACCTCAAGTTATTTTAAAGAGCACATTACACAAAAAAAAAAAGATTACTGCCTGATGCGCTCTTTGTTCCGAAAGTGTGATTGGATCTTCTATTTCATTGACAGTGGCGAGACTCGCACTGTCAGTTCGGTGCATTATACTGGTAGGATAAACAACTTTTTATAGGCTGCAGTTAAAGAACACGACTTGAACAATATGTGGTTTCAAAAAGATGGTGCCACATGCCACACAACACACGGGCGAATATGGCTTTATAATCTCTCGGCTGTGTAATCTCTCGTCTTGGCGATGTCAATTGGCCACCGAGATCGTGCAATTTTACATCGTTGAACTTTTGTGCGTGGGACTATGCGAAAGGCCATGTCTATGCGGTTAAATCTTTAACTCTCGGGCACTTGAAGACCAACTTTTGTCAAGTTTTGGCTGCAATACCGCTCAATATGTTTCAAAAAGTAGTCGAAAATTTCCTCAAACGGATCGAAGTTTGCGAAAATTCGCGATACAGTCATTTGAATGCTGTAGTGTCTCGAGGCTTAAACCTTATAATATAAAGTAATTTCATTAAAAAAAAAATATTTTAAATTAATTTTATGAAATTTTTTGTCGAAAACGCAAAATGTGTAACCCTGTATTATGCACATATATGAAATAATATTTTTTTTTATGTAATTAAACACTTTTAACACAAACAACCATCACTAGTACGAACTTTAGAAATGAAGTATGCTTTTCAAATTGAATAAGACACTTATGAATTATGTATGTATACGAGTACATGAAAATTATTATTGCGAAATTCTCATAAAACACTAATGAAATTGCAGCAATTTGCAGTATCAACACACAAGTAAATGCATACAACTGCATTTAATTAATTACAACTGTCAGCCGAAAAGTGTAGCATCATTTGTTGGGTCGTACTCGTAGATATCATCAAAAGTGAAAGAATTTTACGGTAATATAAATGAAAGTGTTTTTGGGGAAATTTTCAAAATTTAATTACGGAAATGCATACAAAGAAGAAAGTAGTGTAAAGAAAATAATTAAAATAATAAATGAAATAATTAGAAACAATAAATAAGGTGTAAGTATGTAAGTGTAAGTTCAAAGAAATATTAAAATATTTATTTTAATTAATAATATTGCCAAAAAATGAGTGCAAGACATATGTACATATACATAAATATGTATGTATAACAGGAATTTTGAAAGATGTTTCGCTATGGAAATTGACAACGCCACCATATAATTAAAAAAATAATAATATTTACAGGAATCCACAAATTAAACGAATTTTTTAGATTTTTGATAACATGGCAACACTGCTGACGTACAAAATGAGTACAACATCTGATGGGTCTGCGTTGGGAATTTCCGAGAGAAGGTGAGCAGTTCAGCGACTCAAGGGAAAGTGACTCCGTTGGCTAGGTCATGCGATCCGATGAATGTAAGAATGGATTGATAAGAATACTCCAGTTTTGAGAGTTTAGTTAACTGAAAGAAGAGACATTTTAATATGCTTAGCGGATTCCCGTTTCTATCCTACGCAACGGATTGTGCTAAACCTTTAGAAATGATGTGAACAGAGGTTCAGAATTAATGGACGGATGCAAACTAGATAGCCAAGTTTGAGATGATGCCTTTTCAGCAAAATCGCCTATACCAGCAATACCTTCTGACTACACCAGATCGTTGCTATATTTTTCAAGCAGAACTTACTGCATTTAGAGAAAGCTTTCTGGTTCTGGCAAAGAGTGCGCTGACAACAAAAAACTAATCTATTTATCCAGTTTGCCAAACGGTTGAGAAATCACTAAAGTCTCAAAGGATCTCAGTAAATTAGTGAAAGAATGTTTTGACCTATTAGTGGAGCTCGCATCCTACCTCACGATAAATTTGCAAGCAGCTCTATGACAGAAATCAATGAAACAAATTAGCCACCGTCTTTGCAATTAGATCCCGTTTATTGGGAACATATCGGGTGATCCAAGGAGTGATACTTTTTTCAATAGCCTTTTTTTGCAGGTAACGCGTGACACGTGTAAGGCTGTCATGCTATTTTTGTGCAGTATTGTTTGGCTTTTTATCATGAAAAGACAAACTTTATACGCGCTTCGCTCAACTTTTATATATATATATATATATATATATAATTGGCGCTTGTTAACCGTCGAAGTGATTTTCTTCCCAGAATTCATTATTGGATAATATTCGACTGAATAGACCCCGTCCATCTCGAAGTGAAGAAAATATAGCGGCCATTCGGTGGTCTTCGTAGCAACTCGGACTGACATATGGAACGTCTTGATGCATATTACGTTGAAATCTTAAATTGAAAACGCACAAAATACAGCTTGTGCAAGAACTGAAACCGCTCGATTTTGCTTCACTCTATGAGACCTTGAAAAGATCGAAGAATATCCGACGTTTTCGAGCCAAATTTTATTCAGCGATGAAGACCATTTCTGACTCAATGGATAAGTAAACAAGCAAAATTTGCCGCATTTGGGATCTGAAGAGATTCAAAACATGCCATTTCACCCAGATAAAACAACGGTTTGGCTTGGTTTGTGGGCCCGCGGAACCAGCTGTTCTTCAATAATGATGCCGGTGAGAACGTAACCGTCAATGGCGACCCTTTTCGCCCCATGATAACCGACTATTTGTTGCCTAAAACTGAAGTTCGTGATCTGGGCGACATTTGATTTCAACAAGACTTCCACACATCGCATCAATCAATGGATTTATTGTGACAACACTTCGGATAACACATAATTTCATGTTCTATATCACACCCTTAGCCTTTTCCTGTGGGGATAAGTAATGTCTAAAGTCTGCGCAGACAATCCCGCTTCGATTTAGAGTTTAAAGTAAAACCTTAATCATACCATTCGCCAGTTTCCAGTCAAAATGCTCGAATGAGTTAGTGAAAATTAGACTCAACGGCTGGAGACATAGCCACGGCCAACATTTGAAAGAGATGATCTTCAAAAACTAATTGCCAAGGAAAGTTCTTTGGAATAACAACAAACATTCTCCATTAAATTTGAAATTTAAAAATAAATTTAAAAAAGTAAAAACGTTGGAAAAAGGATTCGAAAAGGATTCTTGTGACTAGTTTAAGATATATAATTGATAGACATGTTGTAGTTATAGCTGAGTCATCTTGAAAACAATACCGGACTTGTTCAACTTCGAAATTATGTTTCGCCAGAGCAGCGCCAGATCACTCAGCTCTTTAGTGACTCGCCAGGTGTTTCAAAAGCTCGGTTAGGAGGCTCAAGTGAATATCATCTGTTCCTGTGTATGGCGATAGATTTACCTGTAGAAGAACTGATCTCAAGAGAAGCCTTTGAAAATTGATTGTCCCAAATTTTTTATCAATAGCAACAAAAACTTCAATGAGAGAGGCATGAATAGCAGCATTACATTCGAAATGAAGACTACAAGCAAAGCTTATTTACCATGAATCGGTTAATTCTAATACCGGTAAATATAGTCTTCCCTACAAGGCAGAAATAATGGACTACTTTTCACTAGTTTAAATATATTAATTTTGAAATAAAACTTTAGACATTGTTTTATTACATCAATCAAAGCTTATAGGCAAGCGCTTCCTTTGAAAATCTCAAAAAGAAAATCCTAAAATAATTGGGAACAAATTTTTCACTAGTCAGTTACTAGTCCACTTAGAGGGAAAGTGATGTAATAGTTTCTAAATACGAAAATTGGCAACCTCTAAAAATGCCGTAAATGAAGTAAATATATTTTTAAAGCCATTTTGGTGTTGAAAAGTAATTGTAATAACTAATAATGTGATCAGTGATCGTAATCGTTATTCTCAACAACTCTATTACAGAAAATCTTTATCTCACTACCAATTCAGTTCAGCTGACCATTAGATTTTTGTAGCTGAAAGCTGGATATGGACATAGAAAGTAATGAAATGCTCGTTAAATATGTGCGTAAAATGAAGCAATAAACCACTTGCGCCAACACATGCCAGATTTACACAGTCAAGCATTTTATCTTACGAATCAATGCAAAAAAGGAATAACAAAAATGTGGTTAGCCGTTACTCATACGCCACCACGCACACCAGATTTTCTTCAAATTTGTGCTACATAGTAAACATAACACACATTCGTTGGCAGTATAAAAAACATGAAATATTCACATAAATATTGTACGCACGCAAGTTAAATGTGCCATAGTGGTTTGTAGAGTATTTGTAAGTTTGTTAGGTGGAATACAAAGTAGAACCTGGTCTCCGAAAGGATTAAATGGAGTATGTACTCGTATGCAGTACAAAAATGTGTATTGGTTATGAATTTCTCGCTATGAACTCACAGAGCGACTAGTAACACAAGTAGTGTTTTCTGTGCGCTATATTTTTTTGATTTTTTTCTTTTCATATGCTTTTTAAAATCAGCGTTCAGCTCTTCC